TTCCAGCTTAATGAAAATACTGGGGAAATATCAATAGCAAAAAGTCTAGATTATGAAGAATGTTCGTTTTATGAAATGGAAATACAAGCTGAAGATGGTGGAGGATTGAAAGGGCGGACAAAAGTGCTCATTTCGGTAGAAGATGTAAATGACAATAGACCTGAAGTGACCATTACATCTCTGTTTAGCCCAGTGAGAGAAGATGCACCTCAGGGAACAGTAATTCTTCTTTTCAATGCTCATGACCGAGACTCCGGGAAGAATGGTCAAGTGGTCTGTTCTATCCAGGAGAATCTATCTTTTAAATTAGAAAATTCAGAAGAAGATTATTATAGATTGTTGACAGCCCAAATTCTTGACCGAGAAAAAGCCTCTGAATATAATATCACGGTGACTGCAACAGACAGAGGAACTCCACCCCTGTCCACAGAAATTCACATCACCCTGCAAGTGACTGACATCAATGATAATCCACCTGCCTTCTCTCAAGCCTCCTACTCAGTCTACCTCCCGGAAAACAACGCCAGAGGTACTTCCATCTTCTCAGTGATTGCCTATGACCCGGATAGCAATGAGAATTCTAGAATTATTTACTCCTTGGCAGAGGATACCATCCAAGGGTCTCCTCTCTCCACCTATGTCTCTATTAACTCGGACACTGGTGTGCTGTATGCACTGCGCTCCTTTGACTATGAGCAGTTTAGAGATTTGCAAATGCAGGTGAGGGCAAGTGACAATGGAAACCCACCACTTAGCAGCAATGTGTCATTGAGACTGTTTGTTTTGGACCAGAATGACAATGTCCCCGAAATCCTGTATCCTGCCTTCCCCACTGACAGTTCTACGGGTGTGGAGCTGGCACCCCGCTCTTCAGAGCCTGGCTACCTGGTGACCAAGGTGGTGGCAGTAGACAGAGACTCAGGCCAGAATGCTTGGCTGTCCTACCGCCTACTCAAGGCCAGTGAGCCAGGGCTTTTCTCTGTGGGGCTACACACAGGTGAAGTGCGCACGGCTCGGGCCCTGCTAGATAGAGATGCGTTCAAACAGAGCCTTGTGGTGGCTGTACAGGACCATGGCCAGCCTCCTCTCTCGGCCACTGTCACACTCACAGTAGCTGTAGCCGACACTATCCCAGATATCCTGGCTGACCTGGGCAGTCTTCAGATCCCTGCCGACCTGGAGGCCTCATACCTTACTCTCTACCTCGTTGTGGCTGTCGCAGTGGTCTCCTGTGTCTTCCTCACCTTTGTTATCATGCTGTTGGCCCTCAGACTGCGGGGCTGGCGCTCCTCACGTCTGCTGCGGGCTACAAGTGATGGGTTGGCTGGTGTGCCCACCTCACACTTTGTGGGTGTAGATGGGGTTCAAGCTTTCCTACAGACCTATTCTCAGGAGTTCTCCCACACCACTGACTCAAGGAAGAGTCACCTGATTTTCCCCCAGCCCAACTATGCAGACACGCTCATCAGCCAGGAGAGCTGTGAGAAAAATGAGCCTTTGTGCATTTCGGTTGATTCCAAGTTTCCTATAGAAGACACCCCTTTGGTTCAGGTGAGTTTTGTTTGTTTGTTTCTTTTCCTTTCTTTCTTTCTTTCTCTCTCTCTTTCTTTCTTTTTTTCTTTCTTTCTTTCTTGACACAGTCTCACTCTGTTGCCCAGGCTGGAGTGCAGTGATGCTATCTCAGCTCACTGCAACCTCCACCTCCCAAGTTCAAGCGATTCTTCTGCCTCAGCCTCCTAAGTAGAGTAGCTGGAACTGCAAGCCTCCCGAGTAAAGTACCTGGGATACAGGCACGTACCACCACTCCTGGCTAGTTTTTTGCTGTTGTTGTTATTAGTAGAGACAGGGTTTCATGTTGGCCAGGCCACTTCCGACCTCAAGTGATCTGCCCACCTCAGACTCCCAACTGCTTGGATTACAGGCGTGAGCCACCACGCCTGGCCCTTTACTTTCTATTATGGTTGGCTTCTCTTTAACTGTTTGTACTTAAGATAGTATAAGTCGATATTTCTTGTCTTGTCATTTTTCACTTGGCCTAATATTTGCTCCAGCATCTAAAGAAGGCATTTATTAATTATATTTGCTGATAATAACTTTCATGTTCTCATGATAATTAATCTACCATCAATATAAACCATTCTTCATGGGGCAGCTGCATTGATGTGGGCTTTTGGGTAAGGTTGCTTGATTGGTGCAGTGGACTAACCTCATAAAATTCTTACTCCTTTTTTTTTTTTTTAAGAGATAGGGGGTGTCATTCTGTTGTCCAGGGTGGAGTGCAGTGGTGTGAGTAAAGCTCACTGCAGCCTCAACCTCCTAGGCTTATGTAGTCCTCCCACCTTAGCTATCAGAGTAGCCAGGACTAAGGTGGGAGGGCTAGCAAGCTATGTTGCCGGAGCTGATCTCAAACAATCTTCCCGCTTCAACTTCCCAAAACACTGGTGAGATGTGAGCCACCTCACCCAGCAAATTCTTACTCCTAAGATCATTTCTGCAGGTCATACTATGTTTTTAAGGGTAAATTGATAAGGTAAGTGTATTCTTCTTAGAGAAACAGCTGAAAGCCCAGATTTATTGCTTCTACTCTTCCATTTTTGTGATAGGGAAACACCCCTTTGAGTTGATATTTTTCAGATCACAAGTGTATAAAGTCTGTTTGTATTTATAGATATTTTCTGAGGAAGATTAAACTTCAGTTATCCACTTCCAAACCCTAGTAAAGCACGTTTCCCCTTTAATGGTGAAAGTTGTAACATCCTTTATTTTCATATCTTCAAAATTCTTAATTTCCTAGTGCTGTAATGTAAATTATGGTGAATAGTTGGACATTCTTCTTTTCCATAGCATATGCTTTCTCAAGAGAAGTTTCTAAGACTGGTCACTGTGAAATGACAAAACAAGGAATTAAAAATATTTCTTTCACTTTTATATTATTTCTGGCTCAATTCTCCAACTTTTGAGGCTAGAAATGAACTTTCATCTCAGATATAATTTAAGAAAATATTCTCAGGAACTGCTGGGAAGATTCTAAAAATATCTTACTGTTTTTAGCTATAAGGAAGAATATCATGCAGTATTTAATGTAATTTTAAACATAGTGTCGTTTCAAATAGTAAATAACATTCCATGAGACATTTGAAAATAAGCTTTGAGGTTGACTCAAAATTCTATGCTAAACATGTGATCCATAGATACATTGATGACTGCTAGCATTTCTGTGGAAATGAATTTTTTATTTGTTTGTAACTACTTGGATTTCCATTGTTTTATTTATAAGAAAATAAGTGCTAAAATGCCTGGAAATCCATTATGACATATAGGCATTTTAATTATCTCAAACACATTTTCTCCCTTAAGCTGGTAGCAAAAAATAAATTTAAAAAAGCATCCTTCAGGCTCATATTTTTAACCATGCAACAAGAAAATTGTTACAGTTTCTGTTCTGAGGAATACCCTTCATACTTAGTATTTATAAATATTTAAATGTGTGTTAATCTGGGGAAGACATAACAGATATCAGTGAAGGCTTGTATGTCATGGCAGGTAATTATTCGATACCACAAAAATGTCTCTTGCCCTTAAAACCAGCACACAAGGATCACCAGATAGATGACTGAGTAGAGTATGGAAAATGTTTAATTCTATTATTCTTAAACTATGTAGGACATAACTTGTTGTGCATTGGTAACAGATTGTAGAACATAAGCTGAAAGATAAAATTCTTGACCTTGATGTCTCATCTTAAAAAGAGGCATTGATTGACATTCTACATCTTGTATTACTTAAAAATAATGGGGGAGCACAGCATATATTAAACAAAGATTGGCTTTGTGGTGATCATTGTTGAAGGTGGGTGATGGCTATGTGAAGGTTCACTGTGTAATACTCCCTACTGTGGTATAAGTTTGAAATTGTGCATAATAAATTTATTTAAAACACAAAACATATAAATATATCCTATAATATCATGATGAGAGCAAAATTTGGGAAGAATGTACACCTGCATTTTCGAAGAATATATACATTTTGGAGACCGAATTCAAAATGAAAAGCTGGACTGCAGTCCCACATGGAGCCTCTGGGCGCCGCTGTCGGCCAGTGCAGAGCAAGCGCTGACGCCCGGGATCCTTGTCTCTAGCCAGGAATCCCCTGCGCAGCCAACAGCAGAGAGAAGAAAACCAGCTCACACACACAGGCTCCCGGCTGCGCAGAACCTGCTCAGCACACCGGATTCCCAGCCCCGAGACCCGGGACTCCTCCCGTCCTGGGCCGAATGGTCTTCTAGCGCGGTAGAGTGCACTTTCTCCAACTGGAAAAGCGAGAACCCAGCGAGAATCCGAGCGAACGATGGGAGGGAGCTGCGCGCAGAGGCGCCCGGCCGGCCTGCGGAAGGTATTATTTCTCTTGCTGCTGCCTTTGTTCTACCCGGCGCTGTGCGAGCCGATCCGCTACTCGATTCCGGAGGAGCTGGCCAAGGGCTCGGTGGTGGGGAACCTCGCTAAGGATCTAGGGCTCAGTGTTCTGGATGTGTCGGCTCGCAAGCTGCGAGTTAGCGCGGAGAAGCTGCACTTCAGCGTAGACGCGGAGAGCGGGGACTTACTAGTGAAGGACCGAATAGACCGTGAGCAGATATGCAAAGAGAGAAGAAGATGTGAGCTGCAATTAGAAGCTGTGGTGGAAAATCCTTTAAATATCTTTCATATCATTGTGGTGATTGAGGATGTTAATGACCACGCCCCTCAGTTTGATAAAAAGGAAATACATTTAGAAATTATCGAATCTGCATCCGCTGGTGCACGAATATCGCTTGACCCTGCCACGGATCCCGATATAAACATAAACTCAATTAAAGATTATAAGATAAACCCTAATCCTTATTTTTCATTAATGGTTAGAGTTAATTCCGACGGTGGCAAATACCCAGAGTTATCTCTGGAGAAACCCCTAGACCGGGAAGAACAGAGATCTCACAGCTTGATATTGACTGCCTTGGATGGAGGGGACCCGCCAAGAAGTGCCACCACTCACATAGAAATTTCTGTCAAGGATGCCAATGACAACCCCCCGGTGTTCAGCAAAGATGAATATAGAATTAGTCTTAGTGAAAATCTGCCCCCTGGATCCCCTGTGTTGCAAGTGACAGCAACTGACCAGGATGAGGGGGTCAATGCCGAGATAAACTACTACTTCCGAAGCACTGCCCAGAGCACAAGAAATATGTTCTCATTGGATGAGAAAACAGGTGTGATTAAGAATAATCAGTCATTTGATTTTGAAGATGTAGAAAGATACACCATGGAAGTGGAAGCGAAGGATGGAGGTGGTCTCTCTACCCAGTGTAAAGTAATCATAGAAATCCTCGATGAAAACGACAACAGCCCAGAAATAGTCATCACTTCTCTCTCTGATCAGATTTTGGAGAATTCCCCTCCAGGAATGGTTGTTGCCCTCTTCAAAACGCGAGACCTGGATTTCGGAGGAAATGGAGAAGTCAGGTGTAATATAGAAACAGACATTCCATTCAAGATTTATTCTTCTTCCAATAACTACTACAAGCTGGTGACAGATGGAACGCTGGACAGAGAGCAGACACCAGAATACAATGTCACCATCGTAGCCACTGACAGGGGCAAGCCACCTCTTTCTTCCAGGAGAACCATCACCTTGTACGTCACTGACGTCAACGACAACGCTCCAGTTTTCGACCAGGCGTCCTACTTGGTTCACGTGGCCGAGAACAACCCGCCAGGAGTCTCCATCGCGCAAGTGAGCGCCTCTGACCCGGATTTGGGGCCCAATGGCCACATCTCCTACTCTATCGTGGCGAGTGACCTAGAGCCCTCTGCGCTGTCATCCTACGTGTCCGTGAGCGCGCAAAGCGGGGTGGTGTTCGCGCAGCGCGCCTTTGATCACGAGCAGCTGCGCGCCTTCGAGCTCACGCTACAGGCCCGCGACCATGGCTCTCCAGCGCTCAACGCCAATGTGAGCCTGCGCGTGTTGGTGGACGACCTCAATGACAACGCACCGCGGGTGCTGTACCCAGCTCTAGGTCCTGATGGCTCTGCGTTCTTCGATATGGTGCCGCGCGCTGCAGAGCCCGGCTATCTAGTGACTAAGGTGGTGGCGGTGGACGCTGACTCAGGACACAACGCCTGGTTGTCCTACCATGTGCTGCAGGCCAGCGAGCCCGGGCTCTTCAGCCTGGGGCTGCGCAC